GTGCCGAGGGCCCTGACACGGGGGGCCGCACCCAGAAGGCCCGAGTGCCGGATGACTGGCAGCACACCGCAACGCCAAGGGACACTCCCAGGAAGCAGCCGATCCCACTTCCGGCGCCCAACATCATCAAGCAGGACCCGGTGGTTTTCCACAAGAGCTCGGTGGGGCTGAATGAAGGGGGCCAACGCCTTTCAGCTACCCCCCTGACAAGTCCAACGGAGCCGTCACCGGGATTGGACATCTTCCCGTGGATGGAGAACATCCCTGAGCGTCTGGTACAGCGGCTGAGATGGACACAGGGCACATCGCCCAAAGTTCCATCCAGTGGGCCCATCATTGTCCTGCTCTATGCAGGCAAGGAAGACCCAACTTCCTTGGACAGCTGTCTTCATGCCAACTACCCACACCTTTCCAGCATGGTGGTGGCGGTAGACATCCTACGGTCTGGACCAAAAGGGGACCACGATATGCTCCAACCCGAGCTGTATGGAGCTCTTGCACGGCAGCAAAGCAGGGCCGAGTGGTCTTCATTGGAGGAGGACCCAACTGCAGGACATGGTCCATCCTGCGCCACATACCAAAACCGGGGGCTCCCACCCCGGTGCGAGGGCGCACTCCAGAGACACTTTGGGGCCTTCCACACCTGGACCAGGCCGCCCAGACTCAACTTGATGATGACAGCATCCTCATTCTGAGACAGATGTACATCACCAGCCTGGCAAGGGCCTCACGAGCGGCGGTTTCTCTGCCAGGGCCCAGGTCCTTCCTGGAACACCCGGAGGACCCAGTGGTGAGCAGCTCGCTGCCCAAAGCCAAGGAATGCTCATCCTTCTGGATCACAGAGGAGGGGCAGCTTTGGATGGAGGAGAACTCCTTGACAGCAATCTCCTTCGACCAGTGCCGCCTGGGCCAGCTGGTCAAGAAGGCCACTACGCTGGCCACGGATCTCCCGATCCAGGACTGGGATCAAATGCGGTGCACGCATCAGTCACATGTGGGCACCAACGAGTCCTCGACTCTTAGCAGATACCCTTGGGATATGTTGGCAGGCCTGGCCAAAGCCATCGCTGTGTCACTCGCAGCGCCGGGGCACATCCGGATCCCCTCACAATTTCCGGGAAACCCCAAGGAACCACCTAAGGGGCGGGGGTCGGACCCCCCGGAAGGCCATTCCCCCCGGGGAAAACGGGGGCCCAGTCAAGGAGGCGGTCCCTCCTCATCACACCAGGGCTCAAAGCCCGGAGGCAAGAACGCCCCGAAGCCCCGCCTGCACGGGCAGTTCCACCCTGAGGCAGACACCGTAAGCCCTCGTGGAACAATGAACCCAGACTTCCCATCTCCCATGCCCCCGATGGCCGGAGATGCGGAACAACTGGGGAAGGAGGGACAGGGGGACCAGGTCCTGGACCGCCCCGAATGCCTGCCCGCTTTCAGGGTCCCACACCTCACTGACCGGGTGGCGATTGTCCAATTGGGTTTCCGCTCACGCCCCCTGAGGGATGGGGGGGGAAAACCTTCCCCAGGGAGGCTCAACCCCCCTTTTCGGAGAATTTCCCCATTGGCTACTTTGGGCGCCCTGATCATGACCCTTACCCGGCCCTGGATTGACAAGGTCCGAATGTCCCTGGCATCAGGTGCCACCACACACCCCTTCCAGGAAGCCGACCTCGAGGAGCTGCGGGCTATCCTAGGACCGAGGCACCTCCATGAACGATGCCCAGGACAACCCTTCCTCCTGGACTTAGTGTCGCACTTGGCATCCCTTTCAGGTGACCCTGATTGGGAGTTCCCCCTAACACTGAAAGAGGGGGTCCCCTTGGGAGTCTCGGACCCTACCTTGACCTCCCCGGGAGTTTGGCCCACTAAGGAGGAGCTTAAGGGAGAAGCCTGGCTGGGGGAAGATCCCCCCCCGCCAGTGGCTCATGATAACTACCCAACGGCTGAACTCTTTGCCAAGGAAATCGAATCAACCTTTTACGAGGAACGAGCCTTGGACATGGTGGACGGGCCCTTCACTCGCTCCGAGGCGGCAGAGAGGTGCCGCTGCAAACCGGAGGAACTTTGCCCGGGCCCCCTTGCAGGGATTGATGAGTCGGACAAGATCAGGACGATCTATGATGGCTCAAAAGGGGGAGCAAACGCACACATCCAGGCTCACACAGAGGAGAAGACCACCGCACCGATGGTTGGAGACTGCCTCCATGCCATCCACTGGCTCAGGACAGCGGCGGACCATCCTCATCTACTCCGAGCCCCATCCTCGGGCACTGATGAGGAATTTCGGGATGTTCACCAGCCGGTGCAGGGGCCCTCCTATCAGGGCCCTCGGCACCTGGGAGTGGCCCCTTCCCTGAGGGTGTTGACCGCGGAGAGACGTCCAGGTCGTCGGAGGTCTCCATCATCCGCCTGCCCCTATCAGGGCCCTCGGCACCTGGGGGCAGGCTGGTGCTGTGGGGGTCCCTCTCAGGGCCCTCGGCACCTGGGGACTGCCCCTTTCCCCCCAACCCCCCCAGGCACGGAACCCCTGACGTGGCAGCCGCCGACACAGGGGGAAACCTTCATCATCCTCAAGGCGGATGTCACCAAGGCTTACAGGCGCATAAAAGTGCTCCAGAAAGACTGGAAATACCAGGTGGCCTGCATCCAGAACCGGTGGTGGGTCAATAGAGTGGGCACGTACGGCATGGCCTCGGCACAACTGTACTGGGGAAGAAAGGCATCCTTGGTGCTCAGACTCTTGTACTACATCTTCCCTCAGGTGGACTGGCACTTAGTTTTGTGGACGACTACTGCTGGGTCCTCAGATGCAGCAGGGCGGACTGGGACGCCACAGCCATCCTGGCCACTCTTCTGGCGCTGGGAGTCCCGCTTTCTTGGAAGAAGACGGCGCTCTCCCCGGTCAATACCTGGTTGGGATTCGTGGTGGACCCAATCACGCCCTGTGTGCTGCTGGCTCCAGTCAAGCACGTCATAATCCTGGCCACTCTCAAACGGCTGGCCCAGGGGGACATCTTTACCAGCAAGGAGGTGGAACAAGCCCTAGGCCGTATTCAATGGGCTACTTCGGCGTGTCCATTGACGAAACCTTTCCTCCAGCCCTTTTGGAGCTGGAAGAAGGCCTGCACCACTTCGGGCAGGCCACCGAAGCTGGTTCGTGCTCTGGCCATCCTTCTGGGGAAGCTCTTCAACCAGAGGTTCCCACTGGCATCTCCATTTGCTCCCACACTTCCATGGACGGGGGCATCTGATGCGGGAGCTGGCAAACAGGCGGACCATGCATGGGTTGGTGGTTGGTGCTCGGACGTGCCCAACCCCGACAAGTCCCGAGTGAAGTGGTTCCAACAGAATCACACCGGAGGGCGAGCCGTGGGCCTTCACTACTGGGGACCCGCAGCGGGCGATAGCGGCCTTGGAGCTCTTCGGCCTCCTCCTTTTGGTGAGGGCTGTTCTGCTTTGTGCAGCCGGCTCGGCTTCTCACACTAGGATTCTGGTTGCTAGTGATAACCAGGGAAACGTTTTCTCCCTGCTTAACGATTCCACTCGCAGGATGCCCAATGCGGCCATCCTCATGGAAATTGTGTTAACACTGCATGACCACCAGGTCATGTTAGGACCGTCGCATGTGAAGCGCGACTTTAACACATGGGCGGATGAACTTACTCATCCGGACCCGCAATTTCCGACTGAGAACCGGGTCTTCCCCTCAGTCGAAAGCGAATTGATCAAGCTGATCTTCGCTACTTTCCTTCCTCACCCATGATGCCGGGAGGGCATCCGGTGAGGTGGGAGGATTCCTCCCTCGCTGTGGGAGTGGCATCAATTCTACTCCCATCAGCTGCTGAGGGGAGCTGCCCAGTGGAGCTGGGCAATCCTCCCATTTTGGCACTAATCCTTATGCGGCGTAAAGGATGCACCGTTTCGCGATTAAGGTGCCAGTAGCACCAATGTGGTGCTTTGAAGAGTCTTGCATATAGAAATATGTTACATGTCCCGGCGCCGAAACCTGCCCACAAAACGGACCCTCGTACCTTTTGAAGCTTCCCCACGGCTTCACACATGTTTCATCAAGTGAAACCCCGCCAAAGTCTTCGCGCTTTCCTTGTGATCTGTTCAAAGCTCCTGGGGAAGTATCAAGCATGCTGAAGCTTCAGGGGTGATGACTCCATTCGTTTCTTCATGAGTTTCTGATCCTTCATGATGGCCGGATTTCTGGAGAGCTAGTTTCAGGCAAGCCTTCCCCGTCCAAGCCCCGAGTGCCAAAGCGCAGAACCTGTTTGGACGTCCACAATTGGGTGGCTTCCTTTTGGTTTCTCTGCAAAAGCGCGAACCAACAGGGGCTTCACGCTCTCTGTTCAGAAGGTGACTAATAGGCAAACCTTGGTTTCTACCGAGTCGTAATCAATATCCCCCACGCTTGCGTTCGTTCTGACTCAACTTCAACCAGACCTTTGTTTCGACTCCTGAAGCGAATCTAAGCGTCCTGTTGTTGACTCCTGAATGAACTGCTGGTTTGGCTCAGGCCCCTCTTGGGCAAACATCTTCCTTTAGAGACTCCCCGGCCCCCCCAAATTGTGGTTTTCCTTTTGGGTTTCTTTTAAAACCAAGGGAAGCCAACAGCACAAGGAGGTTGTTCAAGCAAGGAAAAGCGTTAACAAGCCTCTTAGTGGTACAAAACCTATTGGATTTGAACCAGCGATTCAAACCTATTGGTGTTTAAGCCATGTCCCCCACTTCATTTGGCTTGAAACATGCAGGTGAAGCATGTCTAGAGGGGTTTCCTTTTGCTTTACAGCAGGCGAGTACCCTAGACAGGCGAGCCAATGCTTTTTCTGTGGATGGACGGAATTCTCTTATCCACTTTGAAATTATTGTTTGTTGGTATTTACAGGGGAATCATCATTCCAGGGTTTCTTATTTGGTGTAGGATTTGTCCACCCACAGTAGGCTCTGGTTACCGAACCCCGGGTTTGTATCGCTGCCCGATTGGACTCGAATTCGAGGCCGGGCATGATGGAGATCACCAAGACCCACGAGCGGCTCAGGGCCAATCCCCTCTTCAGCGACCCCAGCTCCTGCGCAGCCCTCGGTGCAGGAAGTACCCTAATGTTGACCCAGGATGAATCAACCCGTCCCATTATTAGGGGGGCGTTCCCTCCAAAAGTGATGAATCCCCACTCAAAGGGGCCCCCTATTAATCAACCAGGCGCTTATTAATCCGGGGTTAACATGAAGTGATTTGAATGGGGTCGTGGGGGTACCTGAACAATCGCCATTTCGTCGCCAGAGTAATCACATTTGGTTATGCTCTAGGTTGGCGTCAAAATAGGGGGGTCACCAGAATGTGCGCTTTTATGCTGGCTTTCCCTTTGAAGCCACACCAAGACAGGTACCCTCAACGAAGCACACCCATATGTCTCTCCCTTGGGATGTCTTGTTTGGGGACCATCAAAACGACATGTCCTTTGGGTGTGATGCTTAAACAGGACGTATACGGAACCCTCGAAACTTATTGAGGGAGGCGACTGGCCGGCGAATTTGCTGGGGGGGTTGGAGGTGGCCCCAGTTGGGTCCATGGATGCATCACATTCCCTGGACATGCTTGGAACATATTGGTAGACCTCAAATGGAATGGGCCCTTGGTCCACAATATTCGCAACAGTTGCAGGGGCCAGATTAGTTTTTGGTGTCTGCTGAGCTTCTGGGGAATGTCAAAGGGTTGGTCTTGTTGTGGGGCACCGAGGCTGCTCCTGAGTTTAGACACAGGACATGCAACCTTTGCTGGGACCATGGAAATTCGGACCAAGCATGTTAAGGGACTTCTGTCGCCCCCACTGTGTTTACTGGTGACACTGAATTTGGGCAAGACCTGGCTCTGTGACGTGAGTGTATGTCATGCCTTCTGGCGGATGTTGACCGTTGCTCATGTGCCGTTTCTGGTTCAAGAGTTTCTGTTTCAGAGCTGTTCAGCCTCATTTGAAGTAGCTGGGCTTGAGCAACATACCACATGATTGACCATACTTGGGGGTAGCTGAGACGGTTCAGGATGAGTCTTTGGTCTATCCGGCCTGGGTTGCGATACCACCAGACCGGCTCAAGCGTGTGACCCATGGGCCGTCCCTCGCATCATGTGCCCCTTGGGGTCAGTCGCAGCTTCCTCAAATTACTGGGACCTGGTCCCCAAACTGTCCCTTTCCCAGTGTCCTGCCAGGTGCTCAACAACCCATAGCCGGCGACTTCCCCCCCCACACAAAATCCACAAGAGACAAGAGGATGGGTGATTAAATCGTTCAATCCGTCTCCGCCCCAAAACTCTCAACCAACACACACACACACACACACCACACGCTGCCCCTAATGAAATGAAGACGAGGTTTAGTTCCAGACGTCCAGATCTATTAAGCAGGCTGACGCCTGATGCCGCCGACCCCCAATGTGCTTTTATTGTTGATGTTGTGTTAAATGTTGTTTTAAGAATTCGAGGTACG